TAATCTGGCATTCCTGAGCCCAGCTCCTGGAAACCTAACCTACATGCACTATGACCCTGTCAAGCTAGAGACTACATCCTCAGTTTGGCACATTTGCTGTGATAATAGTCACCATCCATGAAGCCTCACAAGAGAAGGTAAGTCGTCTCATCCAGAGAGCCTTCACCATCGTGCAAGATGTGCTTTCATTTGAATTTACCTTAAGTTGAGACATTATTCCTTATATCAACTCTGGAAATCATTATTACTACACTCATCTCATAGATAAAAAAAAAAAAAAAGACTGCTTAGTAAAGTGAAATAATTTGCTCACATCACAGAGTTCGTAAGACATGGAAACAGGAGTTGAATTTCAAGTTCCCTGATTTCAAGGGGCAAAGAAATAAAATGGCTTCCCTAGCAACACATAATGAATTAAGAAAAACGCAGAAATTAAATTCCTGATTTTTAAAACCTTAATCTTTTTTTAAAAAGATTTATTTATTTATTTATACATATAGAACTGGGGTACAGCCCAAAGGTGTGGGGCAGGTAAGAGGATTCACCAGAGACAGGGTGGGGAGCAGAACAGGCAGATTGACTGAAATACACTGCTAAGGGGAGCAGTGCACAGCAGAATTCTGCAACGCCATGTGGGTCACCTTCCTGGCTGGAGATCAAACTTGTGCTGCAGTGGATGTGGATAGCTTCATAGTGCTGCACTTTAACGCACTGCACCACCAGGGAGAGTCCCTAGTTCTGAATCTTTAATTAAGGTTCTTTTACTTGTTAGTAAGTTCTCCCCCAGGGAAAAAATAATCATAAGTATCTCAAGAATATCCATTCAAGAACAAGATAAGGACAACTAGTTACAGGGTGTATTTTGTCATATATTAGTTGTCTATAAAGGTGTGGAAAGCCTCTTCAATAAACAGTATTGAGATCCACTCATCTGTTCTGGGGCATTTAGCTTGTTTCCATACCTTTCCTTTTAAGGTTTATTTATTTATGTATACAAAAGCTGGGGTGTTGGCTAGAGGTGTGTGTGTGGGGGGGGTGAGGATTCTCCAGAGACAAGAGTGGGGAGCAGAACAGGCGAATTAACTGAAATAAACTGCTGAGGGGAGCAGTGGTGAGACAGTAGAAGTCTGCTGCGCCATATGTAAGTTAGCTCCCTGGCTAGGGATCAAACTAAGACCACAGAAACTTAACTCCTACTGGACCAGAGAGTCCTACAGTGAATTAATTTAAAATGAAAGTGATTATTTATTTAGAGAACATTGATACATGAAAGTCTATGCTGAGAAGCCAACCCCAAAACTCATAGGAAGTTCTGGTAACACCCTGTAAAGAAGCATAAATATAAAAACTAAATTAAGCCCGAGATGCTTTGAATTCCATGCCCATGAGTTTTCCAGATTTTTCGCATCTGCCAGAGGTTCTGCCCAGAGAACATCCTCTCTTCTGAGAGAAGCTGACATCCTGGAAAGTTCTGGGTCCTCCTGTTGGTCTCCCGAAGCCCATCTGAGGGTTGGTAACCTTCCTCCCTTTACTGCCAATTGGATTTTATGCTTATGTCACTGTAATGTGTACTTCCCCCAATACATCATATTGTTGTTACATGTGATGGGCTGAGCTGTCAGTGGAAGCTGTTAGTGTCCATGTAGGTGGAAGGCAACATGTTGAAATGCCACCTCCCATTACAGGGTTCTACGATGTGCCTCACCTATCAATCAGCAGTTATATAGAGATCCAGTGAGAAGTTGTGTGATGATACCTGGAAGACCAGAAGTGGGAAAGAGCTGCTTCCAGAGCCTCAGAGGAAAAGAATAATGACCTCACTGCTCGTGACTGAGTGGAGGCAGTCCCTTGACTTTTTTAAGGTTGAGCTACTGCCAGCAGGATTAAAAGAAGCTCGTGGAATGTTTATGCCAAAAGAACTTTTGTAATTGGAGTTCTGAAAAGGAGGGGGAAAAAAACCCCCAGGGTTGGGTGGAGGGTGGGTGAATGTTTCCAGACTAGGAAAGCCAACCCTAGGATTTTGGGTTTTTTTAAAGCATTTTTATTTATGTATTTATGCACAGACAAGAGCTGGGGTGCAACTACATCTGAACACTCAGCTCAGACTGTGACTTCTGCCTGCAGGTAAATTCTCTTTTGAGATATATTACTTATCCTGAAATTACTTATCCTGAAATCTGGATATCTTTAGAGAACAAGTGGTTTTCTTTCTTTTACCTAACAATTTACTTTAAATTAATGTCTATGGGACTTCAAAACATGCCTTCTGACACACTCAATTTTAATTCTTTTAAGGTGTGTATATATTATTTGGCCATTTTCTGGCCCTACCTGAATCCACTGCTGTGCTAAATGCCCTTCCCTTCAGGGGAAGTTCATTGAAAGTAATGACTGCTGTAGCAAAAAAGCAAGATCTGAAGGAGTAAGCTGTCATAGCAGAATTACTTTTTCTTTTCCTAATCTTTAATGCCAAGAACTGCTTGTACTTTTCTGTGTGGATCAACAAAGGAAATGAAGTAATACAATGCATTTCTTTTGTAAAAAATTATTAAATTTTTTCTTTGGGCAAAGTTATATTTATTTACTATTCTCTCCTTCAATTTGCATTTAGATAAATGTTTAGAGATTATTTCACAAATATCAACTTCTCAAATTTAGTTAAGAATTAAAGTAATTAATTAAAAGTACCTGGGAATTCTTTCCTTTCTCTGTATCTACAGAATTTTTTTGGAAATTAATGTAATACAAATAGAGAGAGGTGAAAAGATAAAAAAGTTCAAAGGAAAACACCTCAAATATAGTATTCAATAAAATAATACAGAGTGGCAAACTATTAATATTTTATTATAGGAAATAAGAATTCAAATGGATATGATAAAACATACCAAAGAGATAGAGGACTAAAAAGACATGTAAGAACTACAACTGGAAAAGTAACCCAGCTTGTCAATAACTTAAACAAGCAAAATAAAAGCTCATTTTTTTCTAGTCCATAAAATTAAAATGAAAATAATATTCTCAACATTAAGAAAATGGGGTTTCATCCACCATGTTTGAGACTCAGCTGTGACTCCTGGCCTAATTTCTCTTTCCTCCAAATTTCAAGGACTTTGAGGAGGTTTTGAAACACAACTGGAAGGCTACTCTATTTAATAACACCTCATACTGATAAAAGACTAAGCATATGCTCACACTGTTGGAGAGATTCTCAATCTTGTCAACCACATTAAACAGCAAACTGGCAATATGCCATAAAAATCATAAAAGTACCCCCGTCTTTTGACTACTTGTACTTCTGAGACTCTATATTACATGAAGATAGTAATTACAACATTACTTAAGATGGGAAAACACTAGAAAAAATTCATGTATTCAACCATTTAATAATTACTGAGCAAATGACCTTTCAAAAGTTAAAGGATGAGAAGAAAAGGAATACCAGGGGGCAAGGGTTAGAAAGGCCTCGAAAACGTTTCTTGGGTAGTGCCTGCCATGTCCATTACTAACGGTAGCTTTTAAGTTATGAGAGGGCACTCATTCCTTAAATTAACCTAGTCCAAACATCACACTATCAGAAAATACAATGGAAACTAAACGGAAAATATGCAAGGTTAAGACATTATTATTATTCTATTAGAGCTCTTTAGTTAAGACCATAACTCTGATATTGGCAATCTTCCTGAGGAAAAAAAAGATTAAAAAAACTCATAACAAATTTCTGGGACTTCCTGTATTAGCAGTGAACCTGAGGACTTGCTCCTGAACACACACACACACACACACACACACAAAGAAAAAAGAAAAAAGCGGGTGTAGTGAGGGAGAATGAAGGGAGGGTGGATAACAATTGTATCTGCTACATAGATGTGGGTCAGGGGTTAGCAGCTTAAAATGAATATTATCCAGTTTCATATATTTTCCTTTGTTCATTTCCCCTGTGTATCACCACATACCTTTAATAAAACCTCAATTCAGTGACTCCAGTCTAGTTTCACCTGATTTGTGAGTAACTAAAAGATTCATGTCCATGGTATGAATAGCCAGAGGGCACAAGAGAATATTTCTTAGTCTACCATCCATGACTTGACAATGTAATGATATCAAAGACAATGACCAGGGGTCCCCTCTCTTAGGAAGAAGCTTATCAATGGCCAAGGGCAGGTCAAAAGGCTCAATCAATAATCCATCCCAGCTGCAGACCTATCTCAATAGAGACATCCACTGTAACCATCCTACAAAGGGGTTGCAGTTGATGGGAGTACAGAAGAGTCACTTTTTTTGAGTCTTAAGAATATTTAGAAACTTGAACTTACAATAAGCATTTAGAAATATAAATAACAGCAAGAAAAGGCAAATAACTTGAGCACAAAAGAGCAAACAAGCTAATAGACACATTTCAGACTACTGTAACTCTTTTTTGCTTGTCAACTTTCAAATGGGGAAAATTTGTCAAAGTATGTGGACATGATTACATTAGGTGGGGGATACAAGCACAAATAAAAGCAACACCACATCTTAATTTTAAAGCAAAATCAAGCAAAAAGATATTCTAGTGTAGTAACTTATTCACCAGGAAAAAAAAACAGAGTAACAAGTATAATCAGTGTCATCAGGTTTTTGTTTTGGTTTTTTAAAGAACAGCAATTTAAAAGACAATCTAATTCAGTTTTGGAATAACTACTTTCTGTGAGCATAGCATCTAAACTTCCTAATCAGATGCACACTATGTTTACAGAAACTTTAATCAATTCTACCATGATGTGGACTGAACTGTGAATATGTCCCACCCTGTTATAATATAAAGTATCCCACTATCTTTCTGGATAGTTCTCCTTTTATTTTCTCTCAATTGTTTTGTATTTACTTTATCTTAAGGTATTTCATATATCTTTATAAGGCACTAAATGATATTCTGGAAGAAAGTGGAATACAAACAAAGATCACTTTTTCTCTCCTATTATTCTTCTGAAATTACTTGTCCCTCTGATGATGACTCTTACCTTAGGCTGTTTGCAAAGGTAGCGACAGAGTTCTCCAATGTACTGAAACACTGTCACATTATACTTTTTACAGTCATTCCAAAATTGGCTTGCAGAGAATTTCTTCTTTAACACACACGTAGCACCTATGAGGAAAAGTAAAAACTAGCACTAGGGAAAAATTCAAGGGCAGAACTACACAAAACACAGAGGATGTTGGTCTGTCTATAATACTTCTGCTCATATTCAAAGATTTATAATTTTTCACCAGCAATTTATCTCAAGTTCATTTCACAATATTAATCTTACAGTTCAATAGACCTTCAAAAAAAAATCCATGTTGCAGTTCTATTTTTTTTTTTTTACTACAAATACACTTTTTCAATGTTTGGGATGAAAAAAGCAATCAAAATTAGTAAATAGTTACAAGTATTACAACAGAACTATAGATAAAAGCCCTTCTTCCAGAACCAAAAATATTCACTGATTCTTGACCTTGACTATGTACAGTTTAATTTTTTTAGACTTTAAAATGCAACCTTCAGGTCAGAGGCTTGAGGTCAAGAACTAATCATATCAATAACAAGGTAAGACATGAAAATGTTAGTATCCTGATCTCCGTTTTTATTCATTGTGGGCATTGATCATATTTAAATATTCCACAAATTTATAGAATTTTAGACATGTATAAGTAGTAGTGAATTATCTCTCTCTCTCTCTCTATGTATATATGTATATATATTATTCAAGGCTAACTAGTAATAAACACATAATGTAAGCATATTTGTGAAGAGAATCCACTGTGTGGCAAATTCTGCAAAAGGGCTTGGTGAGAATCTAGGGTGTGTCAAAGGAGAGCCTTTGACAATTCCTTCCATGCAAGTCCCTTCGCAGTGTAAATTTACTTGAATCTGGATTGACTTGTACTTGCTTTGATCAATGCAGGTAAAAAGACTATGTGACTGGCCCTCCCTGGTGGCGCAGCGGGTTAAAGCACAGCACTGAAAAGCTAAAGCCACTTCCGCATGAGTTCGATTCCCATCTGCCCCGGAGGAGATCCACATGGCGGGGCAGACCTCTCCTGACCCGCCCGCTGCTCCCCTCAGCAGTGTACTTCGTCGATCTGCCTGTTCTGCTCCCCACTCTGTCTCTGGTGAATCCTCTCACCCTCTACATCTCTGGCCTGTACCCCAGTTCTATATGAATAAATAAATAATCTTAAAAAAAAAAAAAAAAGACTATGTGACTTCCAAAGTTATGAAGCCTTCACATTCCCCCTTGTGGAAGGCACCTACCACCATTTAAACAGGCAGTGACAGAACATAACCAAATGTGGGACAATATGAAGGGAAAAACTCAGTTTACAGCTGCCTCTACCCTCATGGTCAAATTCCCAAGACTGCTTTTTCCATTTCAAGAATAATCTCAGGATGTCAAAAAATTATGTCCTTTTAATTAGCGTTATATTGTAATTATATCATATGCACATAATCACTATGGATTCTACTTCAAATGTTAATGTATCCAAGTTCTAATTATTAGGTATTCTGAAAATGTATCAAAAAGAACATAAAAACTTACCTAATTCAATACACCCACCAATTCCCAGAAGAGACCCTGAACTGTGATACAGAGGAAGGGTTATATAAATGATGTCATTAGTAACACAACCAAAAGCCCACAGTCCAGCAGAACCCTTTAAAGCCTGCAGTTGAGTAATCACAGCTGCTTTTGGTAGACCTGGAAGAAAGAAACAGGAAAAATGCACTGATGTAACAGAAAGTAAGGCTATACAAAAGCAATGAAGGCAAAATACAACCAATTTTTCCATATGCTTTCTAAGAGTCCATGTAAAGGCAAGTTACTATTGTAATTAACTTCCAGAATTTTTGCTCTATCAGAAGGGCCAAAACTGCAAAAACTACATGGATTTTGAGAAAGATTTGGCTTCAAAGAATGCCCCAAATGGCAAAACTCTAAAAATGTACAGCCAGAATAGGCATGTCACAGTGTAATTCTAAATTATATTTAAAGTAGAATGTTTCCAGCAAACACTTTCAAGTTACAGTCTATTTCAGTGATGAGCCATTTATTTTGTCATCGTTAACATGCCCTTAAAAACATTACAGATACCAGATTCCCTGACACAACATAACAAAGCTGTTCTACACATTCATGATTCAAATGTAGTTTTCCCTTTTCATTTCAGTCTTCTTCCATGAATAGCCACTGTCTTATAAAAATTAAACACTGTAATCAGTGCAGAAATAGTTATGTATCTTGCTTTTGTTAATTTTGCTAGCCCACCTATTTTGGGGATTGTTATAATCTTCTCTATTTATAATATCAGCATAATAAATTTATCCAGTTAATAGAAAATATAACTGGATATTTATGGTTGATTATGAGTGATTTTTATTTGTTTCGTGCTACAGTTACATGTCATGGCATACAAATTGCTCTTTCAAAGGTAACTATCATATCTGGAATTAATTTATTAGATTACATGGCATTACAGTTATATACTATCAGCTCGAAGTGGTCCAATATTTTTTATAATGTCAATATGCAGAGGGTCCCTTCCCAAATCTGTCTTGTAATAAAGTTATTCTGCTTCATAAAACACTATGGTAATAGAGTATCAAATGTCTCAGAGGCAAGCAGAGTCCCAAGGCAGGGAGGCCCAGAAAACAAACAAATGCCAAGATCAAGGAGTAAAGAGCAAGTACAGACAATACAACTTTAATATGGTCTCTCTTTTTTTATCTTTTTTTTTTTTAATATCTGTTGATGCACAGAAGAACAGGGGTATAGGTCAGAGGTTGGGGATAGGGAGTGAGAGGACACACCAGATGTAAATGGGGGGCAGAACAGGTGGATCTACTGAAATACACTTCTAAGAGGTGCAGTGTGTAGGAAAGGAGGTCTGTTGTGCCTTAGGTGGGTCAGTTCCCTGGCTGGGGGTCAAACTCAGGCCATCATCATGGTGATAACAATGATACTTAGTCCATAGGCCAACAGGAGGCCTCCTCTCTCTTTTTTTTTTTTTTACCCCATGGGCTGACATAGATCTAGTCAGTGATTTGTCAAAGGAGTTGATGAAGGTGGAGTGGGAAGGCTCTGCAAACTTGTGACCTGACTTGTCTTTATTTGAAAATTCCAGAAATGGAGTCCTATAATAAACATTATTTTTCCCAGATTGGAGGAGGTCGTTGATATGGCTACTTGCCCAACATACTAAATATGCTACCATGTCCCATTTTTTATAGACAAAACCTCCCAGCTGCTTCCTATGTGCTTTTCTGGATATGCCCTGACATCATGTAACGCTGTGCTGCTGATGTTTCTTCCTGTATCTCCTTGTAACTGACCACTTACCTAGCCTGCCTCAACTTCCTTGATACGACATTTTTCCAACTGACATTTTGACCTACACTTGCAGCTCTATATGTAACATCTGTATTTCATCAGACAAATAGCTCTACCCATTCCATAGAACTAAAGCCCGATTTTGTTCTTGTAGTTCTTCTCTTGTAGTAACAAGAACTACTTAACTATTCAACAATCAACTGGGCCATGTCTTTCACAGAGAAGGACATTCTTTTCTTAGTTAAAATGTTTATTCACGAAATTCAAAGTTTTCAACGACCAAGTGACTTCAGCAAGAGGTGACATAGGACAGTCCTTGCTTCACTCTTCCTCACAACAGGACCAACTAACTACTGTTGGACAATATTGAGAGACCTCAAAAGCCAACAGTTGAGGTTGAAGCATCCATCCCCTGCACTTCTGAGGTGAATGCAGATGGCAGCAAAGGGGAGGTCAGAGAGATCCATGCATCTGTGCAAGGGAAGGTGAGTGGAGATAAATCAAGGAGGTAGTGGTCTCAAGTGAACACAGGTACCAGGACTATTATCCCAACCAAAGGCCAAGGGGAAGGAAAAATAGAGACAGTGTGAATGTGCATGCCCTTGGCCAAGAGAAACCAAACTGGAGGTGCTGAGGTAGGAAAACACTTAATTCAATGATATATATATAAATATATAGATATAGATATACACACACACAGTATACACAGTAGATATATATATATATGTATATATACAGTATACACAGTAGCCAAGAGATAGAAAGCATCTAAGTGTCCACTGACAGACAAGAGGATAAAGAAGATCATTATGTATAGATCGTCTATAAAATGTTCTACAGGTATATAAAATAATGTGAAATCCTAACATTTGTAACAACATGGATCTATAGAGTAAAGCTGAGTGACATAAGCAGAAAAAGATAAATACTATATTAAATTATATGAGTTATATAAAGAACAAAACAAATGAATTATATACAACAAAAATAACTATGAACTACATACAACAAAAGTAAGCTTATAGACCATAGGACCAAATTAGCAGCTGCTAGAAGAAAAAGAGAAAGGAATGGTGAAGAATGGAATTATAGTGTTTTAGTGGGGAATATAATGTAATACACACATAGATGTTGATTTATAATAATGTACACCTGGAACGCATTGAATATATAAGCCAATGTTATCCAAATGGGGCCCTCCCTGATGGTGCAGTGAGTTAAAAGCACAGCACTAGGAAACGAAAGCCACTTCAGCATGAGTTTGATGCCCACCCCTGGAAGTGATCCATATGGCACTTCAGACCTCTTCTGACCTGCCCGCTCCTCCCCTCAGCTGTGTATTTCATCAGTTCTGCCTGTTCTGCTCCCTACTCTGTCTCTGGTGACTCTTCTCACTGCCCCTACACCTCTGGCCTGTACCCCAGCTCTGTATGCATAAATAAATAAGTCTTTAAAGGAAAAAAAAATCCCAAATGGGAATTATGGGGCTTTTGATCACAGCAGCACCATGAGTTATGAAACACATTATAGAGACTTCCAGGTACTTTACTATAGAGATCCCCAGTTCACCTTCTTACTGCATTATTATGATCTTTTGGGCAGAATTTGTGCTCCCTATTTCCATTAATCAGACCAGCTTTATCTCATAGGCAAACTTGGCACTTGCCTATTATTCTAACTAATGTTCACTTCATTGATTCCTCAAAGGAGGACTATGTACCTTTTCCTGATAGCCTGGCATCATACAAATCGAGTTTACTGTCATCCGCCTAAGTGCCAACAACAGACAACTAGATCCAGACAATGTGGCACATATACATGATGGAATACTACTCAGTTCTAAGAGATTGGTGAAATGGATGAAAACGGAGGGGATTATGCTAAGTGAAATAAGCCCGAGGCAGAAAGACAAATATTGAATGATTTTACTTAGGTGAAATACAGAGGAACAAAACAAGGGAACTAAAAATCTAAAGCAAAACAAAGTTAAGAAATGGAGATTTCTAGAGGGGTTCAAATGGGTGATAAACAGTGTGGGGGGATAAAGGATTAGAGACATGGGTGCTTTGGCGTAAGTGGGTGGGGTGTGATGATGTACATCTGAAGAAATGCAAGCCTATTCCTCTGAATCATAAACAGTTGTATAAACAAATGTGGCCGCCAAAATAAAACAAAACAAAGAATTCCCATGAATGAGTACTTATATTTTCTCTGCTTTTGAGAAGTTCGCAGCTTGATTCTACAGTTATTGTCTCCCCTGTTCACAACATATTTCCTGATCTCATGGCAACCCATCTTTAAAAAGAATCACTTGTAATTTGAGACTTGTCCAAAGAAATGATACTTTATCTTGTTATTTCCCTACTATATGCTTATGTCACTTCTTCAAAGCACTTCAGGCAATGAGGTTATTTCCAGAATAATGGGGAAAATGAACCGAGGTCAGTAAAAGAGCAACTGGTGAAAATGAAGCAGCAGGGAGGAAGGGTCTGGTGTGGGGGAGGACAAGAACATGGACTTAACAAAATGCAGACAATATTTCCCACATACACATGTGAGTTACTTTTTGATAAGGGGTTGAGTATGAACCAGTTATAAACGTACAGAAAAATAAGCAGGCAAATAAGCTGATGCAATGATTGATTTTATACTGCGGAGCATTTCACGTGAAAAGACATACATATAATTTTAGCTAGACAGAATGTTTACTAAGATACCAACAAGGTAAAACTTGTAATAAAACACTATTAGGGTGATGCGGAGGAGAAAAAGTACACCAGAGAAATGACTGGAAGAGAGAGAGTGGTGTTGAAAGGAAACAAAATCCTCATCTTTCATTGCGAAAAATCAGGAGACGCTTTTTAGGAAGTATTGTAGGACAGGCCTCCCAAAATATTCAGATAGACTTTTTCAAGGTGGTTAGGCATGTTTTCTAATACATGTCACCTTGGCGCATGGAGTTAAGGTCAACTGAGACCTTGAGGGTTTCAAGAGAAAGTGTTCCTATTACCTTAAAGAATGAAGATCATCCAGGTATTAGGGTCATCTCTAGAAATTAACTTTGCTTATCAGAGAAGCCTATTTAAGGTGGGGCAAACATTTAGGTGCAGGGTGTTTAATAGAAAGCCATCTTCTCCTTGTCATGTGAATCACCCTTATCCCCTCACTTTTGAATACCTCAAGCAATAATTCCATGCTTTATCTTAAGATATAAACCCTAGGGCCTTCCCAGGTGGTGCAAAACGGGTCAAGGTGCAGCACTATGAAGCTGGATGCAACCGCTTCAGCAAGATTCAATCCCGGCCCCAGAGGTGACCCACATGGAGCAGTCTTGCCCACTGCTCCCCTCAGCAGTGTACTTTGTCAAGCTGCCTGTTCTGCTCCTGTCTCTGGTGAATCATCTTATCTGCCTGCACCCCAGCTCTTGTATGCATAAATACATAAATCTTTTTTTTTTCCACAAAAAAGAGAGATGCTTGTTAGGTTGTTAATGCTAACCAAAAAAAAAAAAAAAAAAAAAAAAGGGGGGGGGAGAGAAAAAAGTGTGTCACAATTATTTTTTTCTTTAAAGATTTATTTATGCTTACAGACCTGGGGTACAGGCCAGAGTTGTGGTGGGTGAGAGGATTCACCAGAGACAGAGTGGGGAGCAGAACAGGCAGAACTGATGAAGTACACTGCTGAGGATAGCAGCAGGTGGGTCAGAAGAGGTCTGCTATGCCATGTGGGTCAGCTCCCTGACTGGAACTCAAACTGATGCTGCAGTGGCTTCATAGAGCTTCATAATGCGGTGCTTTAACCTGTGGCGCCACCAGGGAGAGCCCCCTTCCCTTTTTTTTTTATTAAGGCAACATTGGTTACCTTATATGTAATTCAGAATAGGATGCATGACATCACACCATACCCACCACCAAGGCCTGAAGAGTCTTCTACCTTCTCCCTCCACACTTTGCTCCTTCTTCCCCTGGCCCTTTTGGCAGGCTCCATTCTATAGATCTAGAGTTTTTCTTTCTTTCTTTCTTTTTTTAAATTATTTTAGGCATAGAAGAAATGAGGTAAAGGCCAAAGCTACAGGGAGGATTCACCAGAGACAGAGTGGGGAGCAGAACAAGCCTATCTACTGAAATACACCGCTAAGGGGAGCAGCAGGTGAGACTGAAGTCTGCTGCATTCTGTGGGTCACCCCCCAGGATGAGGAAGGGACTCAGGCTGCCAGAGTGGGCCATTCTAATTATAGCATTGAGACTACCCCCAAGGCCATCTTGGAGGCCCTTGTTGGTTTGGCTTTGTCTAACCATTGGTTTTGTTTCTCTGTATTCCACATTAAGTGAAATCATATGTACTTGTTTTTCTCCTTCATAATAGAATTTTTGTTTAATCTAACTTAACTCCCAGTCACCTTCAAACTAATTACAAAAGTTTATTTTGCCTAGCAGATATACTATTCAATTTTGCCCCAGAAACAATTGTTTACATTTTTGGTGAATGCTAATGGAATTTCATTAGTCTTTTGTTGTTCTTGTACCTAAAAAAGGTTTATTTGATTCTATTTTGTGTCTTCTCCCATTTCTGCAATGCCTTCGAGACTTCAGTATCCAGAAGGAAAAGCAGAAGAGCCTGCTACAAGTGCCGAAACTGTGGCTATATTTATATTGGCCTTAGGATTTCTCATGTACACATGAATACAGAGAGAATTGTTTAAAAATAGATTGACAGAGTTCTGTGTTTTATTTTGTTTTTAATCCATAAGGATAATTAGTAACTATTTAAACTATTCTCTTCACTTTATAGACCAGGAACCTAAGGAACAGAGAAGCTAGGCAAAGACCTTGTAAAAGGGACTAGCCAAATTTCAGTGTTTAACTGGGCTGGTCCAGATCTTGGTATCCTTGTGTACTACCAAATTTATTTATTTTTAAAGATTGTATGTATTTATGCATATAGAACTGGGGTATAGGCCAAAGGTGCAGGGATGATGAGAGGATTCACCAGAGACAGAGTGGGGAGCAGAACAGGGAGACTGATGAAGTACACTGCTGAGGGAGCAGCGGGCAGGTCAGTAGAGTTCTGCCATGGCATGTCCCTGGGTCACCTGCCTGGGATGGAACTTATGCTGAAGTGGCTGTGGCCAGCTTCATAGTGCTGTGCTCTAACCCGTTGGGCCACCAAGAAGGGCCTTCGTAATACCAAATTTAAAGAAAATCTTTTCAAATGAGATAACAGCAAGTGGACAAGGTGACTTGCGAAAGTGAAGTCAAAGTAACTGAAATTTTTATCCAGGTTTGAGAGTTCTGAAAACTCCAAGTTTTCATGGACCATTTTCAGAGATGTTTTGGTAATTACACATGGCAGAATGTTGGCCAACATTGTCCTTTGCCATTCTTCTTACGTTATAAGAAAAAAAAAAAAAATGGGTGATCATACCTGTTGTTCCAGATGTAAAAATATAAAGACAAGGAGACTTGAGGCTTGTGGTGACATAGTGGCTGCGTGGCACTGGCTTGTCAGATGCCATGGTCAGTTTTTCCTTGAGTGAAATGACACCATTTGGAACAGAATCTTTCATCCCCCAAATGCTGATATCTTCTGGGAGGTTTGGAAGGATTTCTTCTATAGTTCCAAGTAAATCTAAAACCAAAGAGTTAGGGATAGGTAAGCAAAACTCAAATCCCACGCCATGTATCTTTTTCTCTTTTGGACCAGGAGTAAATTAAAAATACAATTCTGATTTCTGTAATTTTCCAGCTATTTTATGGTTAATTCATAAAAGGCAAATCTGGGTATTATCTGGTTAAATCAATGCAAACTGGCCAATTCTGATTGAATTTAAAAGACTCCATTATTCACATTATCCCCCCCCCCATTTAAAGTAAGATTACTCTAAACTTTGTTTCAAATCTGAATTCAGGATACTACATTAAACATTTTCCCTCAGAATACAACTAAGTAATTCATCATTCCAAAAAGCCACCTGTCTGTCACTGTTAAGTTTTATTATAATACATCGTAGTAGGGAGAATAACCTGACTCCTCACAAAATTATTATGGCTTAGAGACTACTTCAAGGCCAAAAGTTAAATGAAAGTCTCTGAATACTACTATGTACATGATAGAATGGGGGTTCCATCTGAATGTTTGGCCTATTCCTCAAGCTCACAAAAATCTATCTTTGGGACCCTTCCTGGTGGCACAATGGGTTAAAGTGCAGCACTGTGAAGCTGGTCACAGCTTTGGTGCAAGTTCAATCCATGGCCCCGGAGGTGATCCGCACGGCACAGCAGACCTCTCCTGACCCACCTGCTGCTCCTTTCAGTGCACCTCATTGATCTGCATGTTCTGCTCCCCACTTTGTCTCTGGTGGGTCCTCTCACTGCCCCTGCACCTCTGGCCTGTACCCCAGTTCTGTATGCACAAACAAATAAATCTTTAAAAAAAATCTATCCGTGAAAGAGTGCACAGATCTTTATCATTCTGTTGGGTCACTATGAGTCACCAGAGCACACCAGAGGCAGCAGGTTTTAGGGTAAAAGTTGCTAAAAGAAAGTAAATGGAGAGATGTAAGGTGGCAAAAGGGTCTGGAAAAGGAGCAGGATGGGGCTGGGGTAAGGGAAGGAGCAGAATGGGAAAAGCTGGAGCTGAGCTAATGGACATGAGGTGAAATGGGGACAAACACAAACATGAACCCAACAGACTAGGACAGCATCAGAAAATTCAGGCTCCAGTCGCAACACTATCTTGTACCACCCAACCATTGAGTTCCTTAGCTTTAAAGCAAGGTTATGACTGACCTGAGGATCACACAAGATAATGTGTACAAAACACTTTGTAATTTATTAACAACTTTTAAAAGGATGGGGTTATTATTTATGACTAACATTATTACTACTAAATATGCAAAGGATACAGTTACATGTACTTTTCAAAATCATCTATAAGTAGCCGAACATTTTTGTTTGTTCTAAGAGAAAAGCACATATAGGTAAGTGGTAATCTTGGAAGGATGCAATATTAGCAACACTGGAGTTGAAATTCTGGGTGAAAGGACTTACTTTTCAGTAAGTGCTGAAATTTTCCAAGGAAATTTGTGACATCACCCCACATTTCTTCTAAACCAAGCTACCCAGATCCCAAACCATTTGCAAGTATTTCTAAGACTTCAAGTTATAAGAGGAGGGAATGCTAGTTTTAAAAGCATTTCACTTTTATAGTGTGTGAAAAATTTAATCTTAATATTACTTTTATTTTACTTTTCAGATAGCTAGCATGCAGAGTTTTTCATGGTTATATCAAAAGGGGGTTGGCAGTTCACAAAACAATACTATGACTGTACAACAGATTCAGAGACCAGGTTTTGAGTCTTTGTCCTGCATCTAAGTTGTGTCAACCAAGTGACTTTCTTTCACTTTTTTCCCAAAACGTGGCTCTGCATCTTCCTTTCAGAATCATTGGGAGTGCTTTTACATAAACAGCTTTCAGTAAATGCGAACTGTCAATATTCCTTTAAGGATAGTAACAGTAAGAATAACATTTGCCTGCATTTTAGCTGGTGAATTATCAGACACCTGGCATGACTGAAACTTTACTTGGACTGCTTATAAAACCCATTTGAAGCTGGTTCTAAAAAGTAGTATTTCACTAAAACCTACCGAGGTAAAGTATTCAAAGTCCAATTCCAAACTACTTACTAGTCTTTCTTATAGCTAACCCCATACTAGGTTGTAGCAGTAAAATACATAGGAGACCCTTTATTAAATGTCTCAGATGACAGAAATAAAAATAGCAATTATTTCAATTCACCAAGGATCTAGTTAGTACACATCAAGCATTCAGCTAGCCACTTTACAAAACCTAGGTTGTTTAATCCTCAGAATTATATTGTGAAGTAGAGGGTATCATCATCATTTACAACTAAGTCAAGTGAAATGTGGCAACTGATGATCTTATCTTCAATCACACAGCAAAAAAATGTAGATAGACCATAAAGAAGATTCAGGTCTGTCTGGCTTGTGCTCTCTAAACCACTTCTCTGGTTTCTCCATCTCAATGCACTCTCCCTGGAGATATAGTGACTGAACAATACATCAGAAGCATCCAATGAGAATCTAAGACTTATACAATTTTAAGTTATAAAAGCAATATGTCTATATCGTTCACCAATTAGATACAAGAGGCCAAGAAAACAATATTACAGAGTAAGAGTTTAAAGTACAGAAAAGTGAACATGATCTACAATAAGCCATGCCTTAGATAAAAATAGAATTGTCCCATCTTTGAAAACTATGTAAGTGATATATTTTGGAAGCAGGCTAAAAAAGAAACAATAAGATTTAAGTTTGATCTTTCTGGTTACCTATTTATTAGGCAAATCAACTAAATGATTTTGGTTAAACACTCCATCATCCCACAGTGGCTTTTAGATACAAAAACTGACTTAAGGTGTTAAAAACAAAAACAAGGAAACAATGCAATTAGTTATTGGCACGCACAGCACAAAGTTGGCACAAGTAAAACTGCAGAATTAATTGGTCCTAATTAAGCAACAACTCAGTCAACAGCAAAGTTGAATGCTCTATTTTGAGAGGGAAGCAGCCCTTCACACTTTCAAGCCCTCCCAAGACCAGGTATGGGATGTTTCTCAAGTTGGTTTCAACATCATAGCTACAGAAATCTTTTCAGTGGTACTGGTCCTCTTAGTTTGCTCTCCTAGAGGAAAAGTATAGTTTTATCAATTTATACTACAATTGCTCCAGACAACAATTTAAATTACACTGAATGAAAATGTGGGAAGTGAACCCTGAGATGAACTGGGATATTTTCCCTCCCACCTTCATGAGCTCACTTGCCAGCTGCGCAGTGGTAAACATCAGTGCACCATGTTATCAAAATTCTCTGACTCATTTATTCTACTTACTGCTCATGAGAAAAGTTATTGTGATACTTATTGCCAGTATCACACTAAAGTTTTCTAAGGTAAGAGGCCAAATTTCAATTCTGAAAGCTATGACTGCTGAGTGAAAAACTGTGAACCAAAAAAATATACAAGATTTACTGGCTTCTCCACTCCTCTGACTTAAATAAGATAAAAGCAGGGCTTGCAATTAAATTTTTTATTGCTTCATAAGTCACAAATTGAGCTGGAAAGTAACCCAGAACAAAGAAAAGTGAAAGTCTTGAATGACTGTTTTATCATGTATTGGCTAACTCGTTTTTTGGGTTGTGTCCAATTATTCTGTGAAAAATGTTACCCGAAAATATCTACATTTAAAAACACCACTCAACTACAAATGCAAATTTTTTATCTTGCTCTGCGCATTTGAAAACCCTGTATGAAGTATTAACATGAATCTATAAATCTAAAATACTTAGTTTTTCACTCTGATCCACGCCCGTACCCTCTTCCTTCCTATCACCATGCCAGAAGAAGCATAAACCATTTAGCTGATACCAAACAAGTCATCTTCCTACTTCAGTCCCATTTTGTGAAATAACCCTTCTTGCTAGGTTCTTTGCCAATGAGGCATTCCACCAGCGACTTTCCTTTCATTGTTCAGTGTCAGTGTGTGTACCCAAAGTGACCTACAAGAGAAGAGGAAGGAGGCTAGAACTTTATGGGGGCGGGGGGAGAGGGAGTGATGCCCACACCAAGCTGTTGGCAGAGACAGGAAAGTGGGGGAGAGAGCCAGAATCACAACCACTAGCTGGGAGGTAGGGGGTGAGACCTTCTTAGGCAAGTCCGAGCAGTGCAAAATAAGAGCAGACATGAAGGCTGGAATTCACACACTTCAGATAAAACTTATTTGTTCTGCAAATGTCCTCACCTTGATAGTGTTACAATAAGAAGTAGGTATTCCACAATGGAGTCAAGATAGCTTGCCTACTTATTAAGTAATTTAGTTACATCTGACCACATTTAGAACTTACCAAGCTCTCTTTGTGTCCTGAAAGTATCAATTGATGCCCTCACAAAATAGTTCCAAGTAAAGATTTCAGACATTTTCTAAAGTTGTCGCATTTACTAATCGCTAACACAAGGTCATGTTTAAAGGGGGGGGGGGGTACTAAACCACCAATCACAAAATTGTAAAATTACTTTGTGCCCTTAATATATATACTTTGCCACACACCCAAAGCACTACTTGGGACCATTTCTAATGAAACATGGTGGGGGAAATAGGCAGGGTTGCCAATCTACACAAGTGATCAACACCCCATACTATACCTGCGCCCACGATGAGGGCCTTGGGCTGGCAGCTGTGGATGCAATGCAGGAGGGAGTTGGAGCGAATGCTGGAGTTGAGGAATGCCACCACGCAGCCCAGCTTGGCCAAGCCGAACCACACGTGAATGAAGTCAGGTTCATTACTCATTAGCAGGGCCACGGTGTCCCCCCTTTTCAGTGTGGAATGGCTGAGGAAGGCATGGGCCACTCTGTTACTCCTTTTGTCGACATCCTGATAGGTATAGATGGTCCCCTCATAGATGATGAATGGTTTTTTGGGCTGCTTCTTGGCGTTTCTCAGGAATTTGTCCAGGACAGTGACCAGCTCTCCCCGAGCGCGGCATATTTTCAATCGAATTCCATAGCGGACCACCTTCAGCAGGTACCAGAAGTCATCCCAGAAGTAAGGAAATAAGAGTTTCTGCATGAAATGCAGGAAGGCCATTGAGGCCCCTAGCCCTGTTAGCCATGAGAGGAGCATGGGAGCCGCAGGTGTTGGCAAGCACCCTTCAGGATCTTCTCTTGCAGCTCTCGCTGGACACCGCCGCGCGCGGGTTCTCAGTGCTGGGAGCCTGCCGCTCCTGTCAGCCTTCCAAAGGCGAGTGGGATCCTGTAACACAGAAGCAGAAGTTTGCACAGAGGAGGCAGCCCCAAGAGATCGTGAGGCTGTCTTGGGATACCTGTGCTAGTGCGCCAAATCAAACAGCAGCCTCTGAGCTCGAAATCTGTGAGCCGAGGCTCACGCGCCAACTCCGAGGGCGGCCGGCTCGCGGCAGGGATCTGGGGGCACTTTCCAGCCCCGCTTCAGGCAGCTTGGGCTAGTTCCCGGCGTTCCGGTGGCCCAGAGCAAACCCCACCACCCTCGGAAGAGGCAAGTCCAAACGCAGATGGCTTCCCGGGGTAGCGTTTCCAGCCACTGCCACTTGGCAGCTGAATTCCAGTGGAGGGGCGACGGTTGAGAAATAGAGTCTTCCCGTCTCCACCCGCCAGGCACCGCGCTAGGAGGCCGGGCCACGCCTTGGCCCCAGGGTGTCACCGGGCGGGTGGGATCCGAGCTCCGCAGCGCCCCCACCCCAGCTCGGCTTGGCTCCGCACCTCCCAAGAGCGCCCCTCGAACACACCAACGTCCACGCGAATTGATACCAGGAGACCCCGCCGCCGGCTGCAAGAAAATGCATCCTACCCTCCCAGTACTCTAGGGGCTGGTGTATCTGAGCTCTGAACCCCCGGGGAGGTGTCAGTCACCAACCTTCGATCTCCAGGCTCTTCCTTGTCAACCGGCAGGGACCGCGCCCCCGGGAACGACTCGGTTGTGGGAGGGGGAATTGAGGGGTGTGGCGGGCGTGAGGGGAGAGAACCAGTTCCCATCCGTTCCCTGCAGGTCCCTCCAACCCTGCACACGTGCTTTGTCAGGAGCCCTCTGGCTGGAAACAGGACAGTCTCCAGAAGGGGAAACTAGGAATCTGATCGCGGGAGTCGGGGCACTGGGTAGAGAGGAACCAAGTTGGAATGGGGTTCAGGACGTTCATTCATTAAAACAATAACCATTTATAAAGGGAGGCAAACTGGAGGCTGGAGAGATGCGAGGCAATTAAAGAAAAAAAAAAATCCTGGCCAGTGGAAGTGGGGCCGGTGATGGAAGGAAGATAGTGTGGGAGGAAAGAGAACAAACAACAAAAAATATTTATGAAATTAGATCAAGACACATTTGAACTCTGTGTTCACAAAACAGAAAATGGGTTGTTTTCAATGTGTTTCTGTGTAAATGTTTTTGAAAACACATTAATAGGTTGCTATTGACATTTATACTGGGTTTCAATCTTGAGAGTGTCTATAAGGTAACCAACCAGTGGCTGAAGCCATAGACTGTTCCAGGTGGTGCCCTCTGGAGGGGGTTGCTGGTGAGGATTGACAGCCCCAGGGAAATTGCTAAAAAGTATTGCATTTTGGAGTGGGGCCACTGATAAGAAATGTAAGTGACTGCAGAAGCGGGCACAGGTTTATTGAGTCTGGAGGATTTAAGGTTTTTGCATCTTCAAGGGTTTGGGGTCAGTGGATTCCAGCCTCCACTGCACAGATCTTCCAGAAGGCTGCTGCAGGCCTCGAAAGGTAGAGGCCTCCAGCAACCAGCCTCAGAGAGAAGTTTGCAATTAGTCAAGTGACTGAAACTGTTCCTGGTTTTGCTGTGGTTACAGCCTGGCAGAGGAGAAGACCCAGAGCCTGAGCTGCGTGAGTGTGGCCATCTGTCGGGTTGTTAGGCCACTGCAGCTGCTGTCTTGAGTGTCCCTTGTGTGCCATGCTGGGCAGCTGGCACCTCCAGCAGCCTCTCCTGTTGTGTCTTCTGTTGTCTTTATGAATTGAAACTGGCCTAAGGTCTGTCTGCCACAAGCTCCAGGTTGGCAGAGGTAGGAAGGTGCCATCTTGGTCACGTGGCCTATTTTTTTGGGAGAGGAGCTCTATGTCCTCAGTAGTGGGAAGACACCATTTTAGCTGTTTTTGTTTAGGACCGAAAGACACCAGACACTGCTTTACCAAGTCAGGTAAAGGCCATTTTTGGCCTCAGTAACTTTTTGCTAAACCAGTAACTGATTTGTTAAATAAATCCCATTGTTGTTCTGCAAACCTGAGCAGTCTTACAATTATGCACATGGGTGAAGAACTCAGACAGCGACTGGTATACTCTTGGGGCCATGTCCTTGGCCAGTTTTTAGTGCCCCTTGTCGCTCTGTGTCATAGGTAGTACTTTTAACAAAGTTTTCCAAAAATGCTGATTTATGTGGGAACTTAAATCCACACCCACATTCAGTTATTTAGAAGTATAGGATACTAACTATTCTGTTTTCAAAAATAACCACATTATTTTTCAGATTTCAAATTAAGGATTCTAAAATAGAACTGAAAGCAGAGAAGACAGAGGTAAATGTGTAGAAAACAAAATATATATAATGATGGGATTTTACTAAAGGTAAACTGACATTTTTCTCTTGCAGACACCACTATGCCAACTTTCTCTGCTTTGAAGTAGTGTGTCTAGAGAGTTAATTGTGCATACTGAAATGATTAAGAATTGCCTCACATTGTAAGACTTCTTCTTTTGTCTTATGTTCTGCATCTGAGTTCTAGCTAAATTCAGTTTTTGGAATAAAGAAAATACTGTAATTGCCAAGGCAGACTCTTATCTATTAATCTGATGACCATTAATTTGAAGGCAACATGAAGATCACAGAAGTAAAAGAAGCTTTGTGTAGATGAAGGCTATGCTTCCTACATTTACTCAGAAGCTCTGGTCCTTTCAATTCTGAAACATTTTCTTAGTTATGAAAAAGGATTCATGTCAAGTAGTTTACAACTTGAAAAGTCAGTTTGCAACTTCAAAAGTATCTTTGAAACTCTATCCTTTTCTTGCCAGGCTTATGTGTGATTTCGTTACCTTCTAGAAAACAACATTTGAAATGGGAACAGAATTTGGAGTAGTTGAACTCAAACTTAGGAATTTTTCAATAGCAGCAAAATCTGTTCTCCTTTAGTAGGGGCAAAAAGAAAAAGCTAACATAGGTTTTATGTTGTTAAATTAAAAGCATTAAGTACACATTAAGGCAATTAACATCTACTGTCACCATAGTTTCATAAAAGCAAGGAGTTATTTCAACATTAAAAAGAAGGGAGGAGAATATCAATATAATTAAGTCTTTCAAAATGAATAAAATTAACATCATGAAAAATGCATTGTGTTAAACTTATTTTTCTTGTAATGGACCTACTAACACCATCCCAAGGCATGACACTAAATTTTTAGCAATTTTTTCTGTGAGTCCAGACCATATTGAGCATACGAAATATGAGACAGTTTGATTTACTGGGAAAACTACAAACATAAGCTGCCAAAATTTCTACTGACCAAGATCAAAATTTTGTTCCTGAAAAATCACTAGGAAAGATGACATCAATGAAAATCCCAAAAAAGCTAGCAGCACTATGTGCCTTTCTACAGCAGCTCAAGTGTCTGTTTTGATTTCTTCCAGAAACTTGTATTCTCTTTCAACTGCCAAAGACAGCTAAGTAGATAAAATTATTATGTTTACTCATTGTTGCAAAATGGAGGAAAGCCAGAGGTAGTATTGGCATTATCCCTTCATCAAACAGAAATTAAATAAAAAATAAGTAGAAATAAATATGCAAATAGTCTTGACATTTCTGCCAAAGTTAATTTTTTAAATTTATTTATTCATACAGAACTGGGGTTCAAGCCAGAGGTGAAGGGGGTGGTGAGAGCATTCACCGGAGACAGAGGGGGGAGCAGAACAGGCCTACTGACGAAGTACACTGCAGAGGGGAGCAGCGGGCAGGTCAGGAGAGTTCTGCTGTGCCATGTGGTCACCTCAGGGGCTGGGGATCAAACTCCCACTAAGGCTTGCTTGCAGTGTGCTATGTCCTAACCCATTGCGCCACCTGGGAGGGCCCAACGTTAACTTTTTTTTTTTTTTAAAGATTTATTTATTTGTGCATACAGAACTGGGGTACAGGCCAGAGGCTCAGGGGCGGCGAGAGACAGAGTGGGGAGCAGAACAGGCTGATCGACGAAGTACACTGCTGAGGGGAGCAGCGGGCGGGTCAGGAGAGGTCTGCCACGCCATGTGGATCTCCTCTGGGGCAGGCGGGAATCGAACTCATGTGGAAGTGGCTTTAGCTTCTCAGTGCTGTATTCCAACCCGCTGCGCCACCAGGGAGGGCCCCCAACGTTAACTTTTAACAGGAATAATGGATTAGTTATCAGACTCACTTTTAGTAAATATAAAGTTTACTTTTTTCTTCAAAGCTGTTTGGAATTAAATATGTAACTAAATATAAGTCAGTGTGAAGCAGGAAGTTTCCCAAGTCTGCAGCACAGATTCTGCTGTTTTCCCAGGCCTGCTTTCTGGGGGAGGTTGCTGCTTGGATTCTGCTGCTTGCTGGAGCAGAAAGTTCCTGCAGTATGCTGCTTGCTTACAGCAGTAGCTATGGCTACCTTGACCCCCTTCCCAAGTCAGCCAGAAAGCTTATGATACAACGGATGGGATGACAAGGATCCTCATACAGTCTGTATAAAATCTTACATTCCTGTAATTTGGGGCTCAGACTTTTGGGACTGATCCTACTGAGCCCGCTGGTGTGACCCAGTGTGACAATTAAATCTCTCTGCACCTCTCTGAGTGACATCTGATTTCTCTAGGAAATTGCTGTAACAAATGTTACAAGTAAAACATCCTGCTTTATTTTCAATCTAAATATTAAGTTCTCTATCCCTTTCCCATTTCTTATTTAATTTTCCTCTCTAACCCACCCTCATCCTCCTTGGCACCTCTGTTCATTATTTAGTGAATGTACCAAAGGGAGACTCAACATATAGTATCAAAATGGAGCCTGCATCTTATAGGATTTTCCCACTGTGACTTAAGAATTTTGACTTCGTGCAGTTAATTACTCATGTCCAGAAGTCTTCTG